TGTAGACTTTTGGATAGCAGCCATCCTGACTGGCGTGTAATGGTACCTCGTTGTGGTTTTGATTTGCATTTCTCTGATAATGAGTGATGTTGAGCATCTTTTCTAGATGCCCATCAGCAGATGAATGGAAAAGGAAGCTATGGTACATACACACAATGGAATATTACTCAACCATTAAAAAGAATTCATTTGAATCCGTTCTAATGAGATGGATGAAACTGGAGCCCATTATACAGAGTGAAGTAAGCCAGAAAGATAAAGACCAATACAGTATACTAATGCATATATATGGAATTTAAAAAGATGGTAACGATAACCCAATATACAAAACAGAAAAAGAGACACAGATGTACAGAACAGACTTTGGGACTCTATGGGAGAAGGCAAGGGTGGGATGATCTGAGAGAATAGCACTGAAACAAGTATACTATCAAGGGTGAAACAGACCACCAGCCCAGGTTGGATTCATGAGACAAGTGCTCAGGGCTGGTGCGCTGGGAAGACCCAGAGGGATGGGACGGGGAGGGGGGGGAGGGAGGCGGGAGGGGGGATCGGGATGGGGAACTCATGTAAATCCATGGCTGATTCATGTCAATGTATGGCAAAAACCACTACAATATTGTAAAGTAATTAGCCTCCAACTAATAAAAATAAATGAAAAAAAAAAGTTCAAAACCTGAGAAAATACTCTATGGAAGTACAAGTCTTAGGTCATCAGTCCTCCCTGGAGAGGAGGAGGACACAGCTATTGGAAGGCAATAGTGATTCTATGGTGCTATGAATGTTCTCTTTGTAGATCTAGGTTGGGGAACATGACCTAGGTATACCCTTATTGTTTGTACTTTTTTCTCTGTTATTATCCTTAAATAATAATGTTTCATAAAAAATAAAAAAAAAGAGGCATATATACGGCCAGTGTTGTTCGGAGTTTTCTGAATTTCCCATATTTAACCCCGGTTTCAATGCCTGAGAGAGTGTTACTTACCACAAAGGGGGATTTTCAGAGGCCTCACCCCATGCATCTCCAGGACCGTGCGCTGTTATTTCAGCTTCAGTTTTTCTCTGTGATCCTTCACTTTTGAATCCCACGTCAGGCGCCACTTGCTGCAGCCAGCACAGCAGGTAGGGATGGAAAGTGGTCGACGCACAGTTTGGGGAAAAGAAACTGGAGACAGAATGAAAGTTTTAAAGATGGGACTGGGGGACTCAAGACCTCTCGGATCAAGAGCCCTGTTCCTCGGAGCCGCATCACTTTTATTTAGTTTCTTGGCAAGCAGAAAGTATCTGCCGTGCTATGATGAAGTCAGCCTCCTGTGTCCCAGTCACGTCTCCCGTTTTATTGATTACTTTAAACTATCTTTGTTATTTTCTTGTACAAGGGCTACCACCTGGCTGGAGGTCATGGACCTGCACATGCCTTGGGGAAACATCTTAGTGTGTGCACAAGCCGAGTTCTGAACTTGCGCTGACCCAGCGTTCCAAGGTCCACACTACCTTTTTTCTTAACTTAGCAGGGTATGACCACCCCAACTAGTCAAGTTGATGTACTTTTATTTAGGTTACACTGTATTGCTATATTTTGCTTTTATTCTTTTCCCATGGTGATTTTCTCATGGCTTAACCAGGGCAACAAGCGGCTGACTATTAACCCCTGCACCCAGACAAGAATACTGGAGTCGGTTGCCACTTCCTTGTCCACGGGCTCTTCCTGAGCCAGGGATTGAACCCACGTCTCCTTCATTGGCAGATGAATTCTTTACCATTAGCGCCACGTGGGAAGCCCAGCAGCACTAATTTTATCAGAGGCTCAGTTATACACTTGGTAATGCAAGTAATCTTATAATACAGGCAGAATATGAGTAATACAGCCAGTAACCTTAATAAGGTTGTAAGTAAGTATTTAAGCCAAGAACTTTCACCAGGTGCAGCCCAGTGTACCTCCCCAGAACGTCTGACCAGTCTGTTCTGGGCCGTACAAGGTGAGTGGTGGGTCACTGTGACTTCTTACAGAGTTGAGAAAGGAATGTTGTCTTCTACTGAGTTACATGGTTGGTGCCAGAGGAGAAAAATGGATGTTTATGGTTGAGCAGTTATGTCTGCTGTTGCGGAGGTCGGGTTAACAGGTAACATGGATGCACGATGCACACCAGAGGGGAGGGAGGAAGCCAAAGGGCAGAGAAAAAGTTTTATGTCGGTATTTTTCCCGTCTTGCCTTAAGATGCGATTTTTATCTCGTCATCTTCCATTAGACTGTGTCACTTCTGTGCTTCCTCAGTGCTCACAGTGAAAGCCAAAGTCCCGTCACTTTCCGCCTCTGCCACCTCTGAAGGCTCCTCTCCCATCCTTGCTGCTTCCGCACCAGCCCCATCGGCCTCCCCTTGTTGCTCCATGGCTCTGTCTCAGGGCCTTTGCATTTGCTGTTCCTTCTGCTAGGAGCCCTCTTCTCCCAGAGACCCACATGGCCACTTAGTCCAAGTCTCTGTGAGGAAGTCTCATTCTCTCTTGACTTCCCTGGTGGTACAGTGGATGACAGTCCACTTGCCAATGCAGGGGACCTGAGTTCGATCCCTGGTCCGGGAAGATTCCACATGCTGCAGAGCAACTACGCCCTTACGCTACAACCACTGACGCCCAAGCGCTCTAGGGCCCTCACGCTGCAACTATTGAGCTCACATGCTGCAGCTCCTGGAGCCCCTGCAATGAGAAGCGTATGCACTGCAATGAAGAGGAGCCTCTGCTCTACACAACTAGAGGAAGCCTGTGCACAGCAACGAAGACCGGCACAACTGAAAATAGTCTTATTCTCACTGAGCCCCTCCCTGGCCCCTCTATTTAAATGTTAGCTGCCTTCACCTTTACACTCCCCACTTCCTTTTCCTGAAAAGAGAAAAGTCCCTGCTTCCTCTTCTCTCCATTGCACTCCCTATCATCCAACACCTTTCGTCTTCCACTCATAGATTTTCTTGTTATTTGTCTTCCCACCACTAGAATGTAAGTTCAGTGGGGACCTGGTCAGTTTCATTCACGGCTTATTCACATCACCCAGAGCAGTGCCTGGCGCGTGGGAGGTATTCGTTAAGTATGGATTGACTGAATGAATGAATCAGAAAATACTTAAAGTGCACACTACAGACACACTCCAGAATTCATCAGAATCAGCCTCCTCCTGGTGCGAGGTATTCCTCTCCAGCATCCATCTCACTAACTTTCTCTTTTACTGAATGCATTCAGCTTTTCAGCCCTTCAGCAGAGACTCTGATTTTCCAAATCATGGGAATTTAAATTTCAGAATTTGTACTTCTCATTTCAAAATTACTAGTTGGTCCTTCCTACAATGGCCTGTTCTGTTTCCTAACTTCCACTTCTTGTTTCATGGGTGGCATCATTTCCTTGCACTCCTGGAGCGTGTGTGCCTTAGTCTTACTATTGTGGAGATTCATTCATTCACCAGGCAGATTTTACCAACCGCTAATTATGCACCAACCACTGCTTTTGGCAGTGGAGACAAAGCAGGGAACAAACAAGCTAAGTCCCTGCCCTTGTGGTCTGTGGAGGCCGTGATGGTGGGGGAGGGGAAGCAAACCAAGGAATAGATGAGTATAATCCAGTGATGGGTAGTGATCATGCCATGGTGAGAAACAAGGTGGCATAAGGGGTGAGACTGAGGGGCTCCTTTAGAAATGGCAGTCAGGGAAGACTTGGAATATATAGGTTTGGTTGGGTGTGGTTGCTGAGAGGGGAGGCAAGGATGACACTGTGGTCTGGTGGGTGAATGAGGGGCAATCTACCAAGATGGAGAACACTGAGGTGAGCGAGTGTGTTGTTGATGAGTTGCTAAGTCATGTCCGACTCTTTGTGATCCCATGGACTGCAGCACACCAAAATCTTCTGTCCTCCACTATCTCCTGGAGTTTGCTGAAACTCATGTCCATTGAGTTGGTGATGCTATCTAACCATCTCATCCTCTGCCACCCACTTCTCCTTTTGCCTTCAGTCTTTCCCAGCATCAGGGTCTTTCCCAATGAGTCGGCTCTTTGCATCAGGTGGCCAAAGTCTTAGAGCTTCAACAAGTGTGAGGGGCGGTCAGTCCTTTGGCTTCGGGTGTGGTGAGAGCTGTCTATTGGCAGAAGTGTGTGGAGCGAGTTGGTCTTTGGGGATCACTAGGGCTGAAAGGCATTGCAAATCCAGGACAGGCTGAACTCACATAGGGAGTGACCTTTCACAGCAGGGAGAAGAGGTCTGAGGCTGAGACCTTGGTCTCCAGTTTTTAGAGGCCAGGAAGATGAGGCTCGCATGAAAGGGAGTCTAGATCATGACCATGGGGCTGAGCAGCGGCTGGAGAGAAGGTCAAGGAGAAGAGAGGTCGGGCAATTGGGGTGAAGGGACAAGGGCAGGTCTTGTTGCCAAAAGGCTTTGAGGTCTTCTCTCCAGAGCCAAGTGCTGGTGACTCTCAGGGGAAAGGACCAGTGAGATTGTGTACTTTCCAAAAATGGGCACAGACAAGCTGCTCATCAACACATTCTGTTCTGTGGACCTGGGGAGGCACTGTGGACCTTTCTGGCCGGATGGCACAGCAGGGCTTTTGTGATTCTTCCCAGCCCTTCCACGTCCTGTGGCGACAGCGGCTGCCTCTGGTCCCAGGCCAGGCGGGAGAAAGGCCGGTAGGAATGCCTACTGTCAGTGACTCAGCAAAGTCTCCGGCGGCCCACAGGGCTGGCTGCATCCAGGCTGGCGGCTGGAGGAGGCGGCAGCCACGGCCAGCCGGGTTTGTTCATGCTTCCGAGGTCCCGCAAACTCGGGACATAGTATGAGGTAGCACCTGAGCTCCACTGTGCTCCCCCCTCCTCCTTCATCTGCTTTGAGACGAGATGGCCGAGACAGCAGTCTGGGTTGGTCCCTCTGAAGGTATCTGCCAGCCTCCAGCTCATCGCCCTTACTCAAAGCCACTGATGACTTCCGAGAGTTTCAGGAACAAGGCCAAGCCAGCCAGAGCCCTCCAGCCCCAGCCTGTCTTCAGGGCCTTCCCTTTGCTTCTTCTTTCTGTCAGGGGAGTGTAATCTCCTCGGTTCTGTCTCATCTCAACAAAAATTTGAAGCGACGGACGTTAAAGCCCTTGGCGTGTCACAGCTCTCAGACAGACTGTGTTATAGCTCTCGGGTCTCAGACAGACTGTGTTATAGCTCTTAGACAGATCAGTGTTACAGCTCCATGTTACAGCTCAATTTTATTCAGAAAATAGCAGGAAAATACATCCTTGAGGTGTGAGGGTATGCTGACCCAAAGACACGAAGAGGAGAGAGAGCCCCAGCCCTTTGGCTCCTCTTTTTATATGTTTTTTCCTCCCCTGGGCCTGCCCTATATAAACTGGGCTAGCCAGGAATGCTCTTTGTCCCACCTGAGGTCCTCCCTCCAGTCCTCTTGGTCCTTCCTTTGTTTCTGGACTCTTGTTTCCTATTCTAACCACCTAACACTTCATGTGGCCCATCTTTCCTTGTGGGCCATTTCTTCTGAGGACTGTTACCACCATCCCAAACCCACCCCTCCCACTACGCTTCTGCCTCCTGTCCCTACCCATCTCCACCACAGCCCCGCCTGTGGGAGGAGCCTCGAGCTCTTCCCTCAGTTGGGTGACGGGCTGCAAGCGTCCCAAGGGCTGAGCCTGTGTCATCACGTCCCCCACGGTGCCCAGAGCCGGACCTGGCATGCAGACCAGGGCCCAGGCAGGGCACGGGGCTGCCATGTGACCCTCAGGGTCTCAGTCTGAATTGGAGCTCTCAGGGCTTCTTTCCCCTCATCTGTAAATAGAGCATCATAACCCCTGCTTTGCAAGGTTTTTTTTAGGACAAGAAGTCATGGTTCTCACCTTCCCCAGTCACCCAGAGAGCCCAAGTAAGGATAATTCCTTACTCGTTTCCAACACACGTGATGCCTGAGTTCCAACTCCTTCTCCAGAACCTCTGAAAAGCTGGTCTCCTGGGTGTTTCTTTTTCCAAATTGCTCTTCCGGGCAGTTCCGAAAGTCTGAGCTACCACCTTTCTGGAAAAACACACTGGCCTGCACTCTTCATTGCTACCAAATGTGACCACAGGCTCAACTCAGGATTCCCTAGAATAGCTGAGAGATGCCTCAAGGCTTAATGAAGACGATGAGGGTGGTGGTGAGGCTGGTGTTGGTGTTGGTTATGGTGAGGGTGATGATGGTGATGAAGGTGATCCTTAATGGTCATTGATGCTTCCCCCCCCACCAGCTTTATGGAAATGTATCTGGCAAATTACACTGTATAAGTTTAAGGTGTGCAGTTTGATTTGATACAGCTGTAAATTGCAAAATGATGACCATGTACATTAGCTACTACCTCCATCCCATCACATAGTTACCATTTCTTTTTTGTGTTGAGAAAGTTGAAGACCTACTGTTTTAGCAACATTCACATATATGATACAGTATTTCTAGCTATATCACCATGCTGTACCTTAGATCTGCAAACTTGTTAATCTTGTAACTGGAAGTCTGTACACATTTAACCAACATCTCCCACTTCTCCTATGCCCCCAGCCCCTGGTAACCACCATTCTTCTCTGCTTCTCCATTTGTCATTTTTAGATTCCACATATAAGTGATATTCTGAGTCTTTTTTTAAAACATAATTTTGTTTGTTTATCTTGCCTGTGCTGGGCCTCGTGCAGACTTTTCTGTAGCTGTGGTGAGCAGGGGCTTCTCTGTTGTGGTGGTGTGAGAGCTTTTGATTGTGGTGGCTTCTCTCGTTGCGGAGCATGGGCTCTGGGGCACTTGGGTTTCAGTAGCTGTGGTGCAGAAGCTCTGTAGTTGCAGTTCCCAGGCTCTAAAAAAGCACAGTCTCAACAGCTGTGGTGCACGGGCTTAGCGGCCCTGCAGCATGTGGGGTCTTCCGGGAGCAGGGATCGAACCCTTTTCTTGTGCATTGGCGGGCATGTTCTTTATCACTAAGCCACCAGGGAAGTCCTCTATTGAGTCTTTATATATATTGACCAAATCTTGAGTCATCTTCCCGTAGTACTTCCTTTAATCCTTTCAACAACCCTTCTAATGAGATACCTGCTTCTTGCACCTATTTTTGCAGATGTGGGAACTGAAGCTCAGGGAGGTGTGTCCAGGTCACGCTGCTACTCTGTGGCAGAATCAGGACTCCAGTCCATGTCGGCCCAGCTCCAGTGTTTACGTTTGTCAACTCCTGGAATAGGCTGAAGGCTTTCGGGTAGCAGAGGAGGACTCCAGGGAGCATCCCTGCCTCAGCATCCTTGCCTCTCTCCCTGGGCTCCTGCTCCATCAGGTCAGAAGCTCCTTCCCTCACACCCTCTTATCCTTGAGCCCAAGGACCCCTTCCCCTAGCTCAGAACCTCCGTAGAAGGAGCCCCAAGTCAATCGCTCTCACAGCCCTTCAGTGTCCAGGAAACAGATCCATTTACTTCCCGATGCTGCCAGCTCGCCCTCTCTCCTTCTGGGCCAGATTCTAGCTTTCCCTGTGTGTAGCCAAAAGGCTCCATAAAAGGTTTCACCAGACAGAAAAGCAGCCTCCTTGCCAAGCTAACTTCCGGAGTCACCTGTTCCCACCTCTGGGGCACCGCATGTGGTACCTGCCTGGTACCCAGTGGGCCCTCATCCACAGAACCTCTGCTTCCTGCCCCTGGCATCCCTCCAGAGCAGTCACGGGCATTGGCTGCATTGAAATGCATTTTCCTCGGGCTTCAAGGCTGCTGACCCCTGGGAGCAGGCAAAGCTGGGCCACCTGCGTGTACCCACTGCCCACACAGAGGCTGAGCAGTGGCGACGGGGCGGTCGCGGGTGGTGGGCTCAGCACCATCTCGGGCAGGTGGCCGAGGTTTGGGGGTGAGCGTACCATGGCTTTAATTGGCCCCCTCGTGCAGGCTGCCAAAGCCCTGGCCATAGTCCCCTTTGTTTCGGCCTCCCAGGGGCCCCCATGCCCGGGTTCCTCTGGCCCATTGAACAAATCGGCTCTAAGTAGGTCAAGGAGAGCGCTGGGCAGCCACGGCTCCAGTTCCTTCCCTTTCATGTGCCTGGCGGCTCCTGCAAGCCTGGCCTGCCTGCACCAAAGGGACTGCACTCTTCTTGCTGCGTCAAAAAGATATTTCATGTTAAAATTCAATGGAGAGATGTTAACCAGCCGTCAGAATAAGGCTCGTCAGAACGCGAGCAACTCAAACAGGCTGAACTTTGCCCCTCTCTGCAGAGGGTCTTGCCCACAGCTGGCAGCGACCACCTGGCACATTTTAATAAGGCTGGATGCAAACGCTGCCCCCTCCCCCAGCCTCTGCACCCTTTCCCTGGAACCCGTGCCATGGGGCCCCTGTTCTGGGGTCCAGACCCTGTGGCTGGCCCTCCTGATTCTCGGCCTTTAGGATTTCAGCATCTTTACTAAGTTGTATGCTGGTTTAGCTGCCTGGTCCTCTGGCAAAGCGTTGCTCTCTTTTTGTGAGTTGCAGCCTATTGTTAAGAGGAGTAATTTTAGGTGGATGCATGGAAAAGCTGGGGGAAGTGTAAAGGGGAAGCATGATGTGGATTTTGGCAGAATCCCTCTCATTTCACCGGAAAACGCAGCAGCAGGATTTGGCCGGCAGTGTGCAAACAGCCCGTGTGATCAGAAGCTTTCCTTTCCGCTTCTGTGGTTGAGACACGCATGGCCTGGGTTCACAGTACCCAGTGCCAGCCACAGTTTAACAAACCCACAATCTCTTCCCAAATGAGAGGCCTTGTGGCTCAATGGTTACTCACACAGACTCAGGAGAGATTGTCTGGATTTGAATCCCCATGCTGCCCAATCCGTGTGGCCTTAGGAAGGACATTAAGCCTCAGTTTCCTCCTCTGCAAAATGGGGACAATAATAGTTCTAATCTCATAAAGCTCTTGTGAGGACTGTGTGTGTGTGTGCTCAGTCATGTCTGACTGTTTGCAACCCCGTGGACTGTAGCCCGCCAGGCTCTTCTGTCCACAGGATTTCCCAAGTAAGAATACTGGAGTGGGTTGCCATTTCCTTCTCCAGGGGATCTTCTTGACCCAGTTATTGAACCTGCGTCTCCTGCATTGGTAGGCAGATCCTTTACCACCATACCACCTGGGAATCCCCTTGTGAGGATTAAATAATTTTATTAATACCGTCATCATCATCATTTTTTTTTTACCATAATGACTATGGGAGACACAGAGGAGCCCCCAGACCTACTTGAGAAAGTCCAGGGTCAGGTCAGGCAAAGATAGATGTTGTCTGAAAGATAAGCACCCAACTGTACACCCCAGAGTGAGGCTGGTACAAATCTGAGTCAAAGTGCGATTCATCTTTTCACAGATGATTGATGGTATTTGGTGGTGTTAACGATGAACTCTTATTTTTTGAGGAAGAATACCTGTAATACAGATCTCAGGGGGACTGGGCCTTTGGGCTGTCTCCCCATCCTTGTGATCTGAGCAAAGCATAGGAGTGTTTTGCGGGGAGGGTAAGCGGGGGGGTGGCTTCCAGGCTCCTGGTTATTTCCTATCCTGCTGGAGTCTCAGCTACAGGCTTGTCATTTCCTGTGGTTCTGTCCTCACTGAATCTGCACCTGGAAACTGAACATCAGCCCCTAGCCTTTACAAACACACACACACACATCATTTGTCTAAGTCCTAGAGGTTTAAGGAGACAAGGCAGCCGTGAGAACATCCTGCCTGGATGGAAGAGTTTTGCTCGCTGGACGCCTCTGGCCTCTGGGTTCACCAGGCAGCCTCCGCCCTACCCTCCCTCCTTGACTTTCTCCTGTCCTAGGATCACTCCAGCCTCTCTTTTGCTGCTGTTTCTCTTCCAAAGACTGGTGGTGTGTTTAGGTCTCACTTGGCCCAGGTGACCTCGCCAAGGGAGTTTCCTAAGTCGAGACAGTGGCGCCCCGAGAAGTCAGTTCTCAGGGGTGAGGACTGTACGTGCCCTATCTAATTGTGCTCCGCTAGCGCCTCCTTGGGGACCCAGGCAGACACGAAGCCTCACCAGGCCCCCTGCCACACACCGAGCCTGAAGGCTCGAACGTGGCTCCTGTGGGTCCCCTGCTCCCACCCTCTGTGCCAGGCCCAGGACCCCAGCGCAGCATCACCAGGCCTTAGGTGGAGACGGACGCTGTCCCCAGCTTGCATGAGATCGGTGGGGGGGTG